CTACCAGGCCTCCTACACCCACCTCACCACCAATTTGGATCGCTTGTTGTTCCCTTGTCCCTGGGTTTGTTATATGAATTTGGATTCCCTCCCCACTGGTATTACTTATCTTTATTAGGAACTGAATAACAGGTAGTACCAATTCGTTATCTTAAAAGGGGGCCAGAAATAAGAGCTGCCATGTAATGAATAAGAAAACTTGATGACATGGTGGGTTATGTGTTTGACTGCTAAATACCAGGTCAGCTATTTGAGCCCACCAGCCCCTCTGCAAACGAAAGGTGAGACTTTCTTCTCCCATTAAGATATAAAGCTTCAGAAACCCAGAGGGGAAATCTGACTGCGCTGTGACTCCTGGGCAACTGACAGGTAGTGCACTTGGTCCAATCAAAAGAGATTCAAATGTTCTGAAACTCCGAATGAGTTCATCAGGGTTTAAATACCTTTATTAACATGAAAATGTCCCAGCCTTGTTTTAAATGCCCCAATTTCCCCACCTGTACACAGAAACTCTTAAAAGAAAAAATTAAATTTTTCTTATAAACAAGTTTGGACTCAACTTCACCTCTGAAATATTCAACATGAATTATCCATTGATTATTATCCAGATACTAAAATGTATGCTGAAATGTTTACTACATAATTTGAAGAAACAAACTTAGATCTTCAAAATATTTATGCACTCTTACATTTAGCCACTCCAAATCGCCCTCACACCTTCCCTATGTGTACCTTTTCCATGCTCTTCTTTACTTTCCAGTGTTCTCAAGAAGTTTTCTGGCTTTGCAGTATCCAATTCAGAGCATCCCATACTCAAAAAACAAAACAAGACACCGCTACCACCTCTTTGGTTCCAATTCATAGGACCCTATAGGGCAACAAGTGTGTCCCATTGGGTTTTCAAACCTTGAAATCCTTTAAAATTTTCAGAGTGACTGGTGGGTTTGGACCACTTGCCTGACAATTGGCAGCCCCATGTGTCATCCACTAGCCACCGCGGGCCCATATTACAGCTTCCATTGGAAATCCCTTGATACCTAATTCTTTTTCCAATATTTCTTACTTTTTTTGTCTTATCCTACAACTCGTGGGGTCCGAATTCTTCTCTTATTTAAAACTAGGATGATAAATTACTATATGAGGTTACCTTAATATCTGCATATTAAGAATAACACAGTGGAACACTAAACTAGAACTAATACAGCCTATGCAATGTGATTTTTGAATCAGCATTCTGGAATACCCCAGGAACAGACCTAAAATTCAAGTCACCAAGACGTTCTTTTTTTTCCTTTTTTTTTTTGGTGGCGGGGAGGGGGTGCAGTTTGGCTGTGATTGAAATGGTTTGGTGTTATAGGAGATAAGCAAGGCAAACTTGGTTTCAGTTCACATGTGGGAGTGGAGGGAGAATCCTTAGCAAAGATTAAGAATCCTAGTCAAATTTGAGTCAATTGAAAAGGGAAGGCAAGCAAAGGGAGAAAGAATTAGAATAAAGGGGCCCTTACAATTTGCTTGGAGAGTGTGAAAGATGGGGTGGGGTAGAGGGAGAGAACAGGGCCTGGGGGTGGACTCTTGAATGTGATGTCACCCAGGGAGTACAGATGATAAAACTATCCAGTCCCCACGGTCCCAAGGGATGCAATGATCCGAGTTTGCATCAGCTTGCTCAGCCTTCTGAGTGTCTGCGACCAAGTCCCTACAGGACAAGGGAGCAACTGTGAGTTTGTTAGCCTTTTCTCTTGACTCAACCTTCAAGCCCTTAAGAGCAAGGATAATCATCATCACTATAACCAGCTGCCTAGAGCCTACGGGACTCGGCATATGGCAGATAATCAAGAAATCATAATTGATTCATGGTAAGAAGAAGGTATATTTCAACGGAGGCAAGAGGCTAGTTATGAATTTTTACAGTGTCACAGCAGTTTACCCCAACAATTAGTCACACAATTATAAAGAAGGTTAAAGTCATTTAAAATTTTATACTCAAGAACTATTTCTAATGCCATGGTTTCATAGACAGAAAACTGTGCCAGCTGATTAACTTCTTTAGCCATTTATTGGCTGCTTATTAAACGATCCTGTTTTTGCCTAGTGGAAGCTTTTCGAGGTGCATCTTTGTGGAAGCTAAGTAGGCCAGGCTGTTTGACTGTCTTAAAGTAATTAGAGGATTTCGCATTGTCAGCCAGTGGGATGCTTACCTCTCTCAGTGCAGCTTCACAGAACGCGTTTTCTATGTCCTCTTCCTTCTCTCATTAGTGTCTGCTACTGAGCTAAGCTCAACAATCCACAAAGTATCAGTATAAAACATTTTGCAAATATTCAGGCAGCTGCTGTACCTAAACTATTATGAACTTTCTAAGTAAGATGATAAGTAGACCCTAGGAGAATTTACATTAGGACTTAAAAATGTTTTCCTAATTAATATGAAAGACTAAATAAAAAAAGGCAACTTTGTCATCAATATGCCCTCATCTACACTTCTAGGCTCCAATTTATGACACTGCTTCCCATTGATTATAGATATAAGTTCAGAATCCTTCTCAAACCAGCACCAGATGCAATTTGGAATTCATTATATAATAGATTCGTAATAAGCAGTTTGGGGGAAAAAAGAATAGGTGGTCAGATGTATGTATGGATAAAGGCCTGAGTGAAATTTTGTTTTACTTTGTGCTTATAGGGTAGTCCTTTGCTCTGTGGTAGGAAACACACTGCGCATGACCATGTCCTCCTGTGAACATCAGCTCAGAGAACGTTTGAGCTGGAGGAGACCTCTCTTCGTCTGTGGCGAGCTCCTCAGTTACAGCGATGACAATGAGACTCACAGAGAGAGATGTAGGCTGACTCTGAGGCTCTGGAGCCAGCCCCTGTGTTTTTCCTCTCACTCGTGATGTGGCTTTGGGCTCTTCTTCACCTGTATGGGGATCATAACAGTATTTGCCTCATAGGGTTGTTATGAAGCTTAACCAAAATAGTGAATGTAATACTACTTAGTGTGGTGTCTGGCATGTGAGAAATACCACCCCCACATCCCCTGGTTTCGCTTTCTTTCTCTGTTGATATTCTTATTAGCCGAACTAGTGATGATCCTGTAATTTTACCACAAGGTTTGTCATATTAATGTCATGCTGCGTTTCTCCCCATGCTTTTAATAAGCTGAGAACATCATTGAACCAACTCTAGCAGTTCATACCCTCCCAGAGACACCTCAGATGCTAGGCCTCTGGATGTGTTTCTGGAAGGTCACAGTTTTACAAACCCCATGGAGACATTCTCCTGGGCACTCAAGTTGGAATCGGCTCAAAGGCAACAACTTCCAGCAACAATGACCTCACGCAGCCTTCAATCACAGATGCTAAGATCACACTCACACGTCTGACAACAGTGACTGGATGAGCCACCCATCACTTCATATACAACGAAACTAAGGCAAAGGCTTATACGAAGGACATTCTTATTAAATAAGAATAAAATATTTTCAGGGTGAAAACCCTGAAATTCCAGGAGGCCATTCTTTTTGTCTGGCTAATCATATTTTATCATATATGACATGACTTGCAGATAACAGTTGGAAAAACTGTCTAAATAATCCAATGATGCAGTTCAATGAACAATAAATAAGCTGAATTGTCCTTTAGAAAAACAAAACAAAACAAAAACCCAATCTCAACATTGACAGGACATATTCAACAGTTCTGTTGTTTAGTCACTACTTGTGGAAAGGGAGGAGAAGGAAACGTTTTAGTTGGGTTGCATTTTGTTGCCTGGAAACATACAAAGATACCAAACAACCCACTCCATGGGCTGGGAAGGTGGCCTGCAGAGGGGAGCGGTGCGCTGGGAGGAACACTTTGCAGCCCTGTCTGTCATCTGATGTCTCCACTGGACAAAGCAGCTTAAAACCACGCTTTGCTAATGGAAGTAAGGTTATCCAAAGGGTTTGAGAAGTTGATTTTCTGATCTATTTAAGTAGAGGCTTAGAAACTGCCTTCTCTGTCAGTTGCTATCAACATGGGGGGAGTTCTACTCATTTTAAATCAAACCAGGTTAAACAGTATGTAAGCTGAGGAGGTGACCCTAAATTACTTCTCTTGATTTTTGAAAATAAACTATGAAATGAAAGAAGGGAGGATGTCCACAAGGGCTTTTATTTCCTCTCTCTTGACTTGAGCGCTTTGCTTCCTAATTGTATGCCCTGGAAACGCTGCACTTTCATTTTGGGATTCCATAACAAAGGTGGGTTTCTTTCAAAGGTACCTGTTGACAGCGAGAAAAAGACCACATCGAACTAGCTGAAGCCTGCTGAAAGCGGTGGAATGAGTTATCAGAATGCATCATTTGAGCTAACTATGGGGTCACAACATGGGACAAGGAATCCTCCAAGAACAGAAGGAACCAGTGCAGATGGAGCCTATGGGCAAACCTTGCTGGAAAACCAGCTCAGTGTGGGTGACTTTGCCAAAATACAGCGTGCATTTGAGGTAAGCGTTAATAACATTTTCCTGTGATGAAACAGACCAGAGTAAAACAGAGAGAGAATTTTGTTTGTTTATTTTCATTTTGGTTCATTTTGTGCGTCTGCCAGCTAACACATGGTATGGACGGTTGAAATGCTGTTCTTGTCAAGATGTACAGTCTCAGAAATGCAAAAGAGCTTAGAAATGTGCTCCTTTAGGGTCACTCCCATCCAGTCTGTCCTATAGGGTCTCTATGAGTTGGATCCACTCAATGGCAATGGGCATGTACTTGGTCATTTTATTCCTCAGTGCTTAGGCCCAAATTGTATTATTTAGTTTGTAATTGCTGTGCTTGAATATCATGACTACCCAGAAAGGTGACTTTATTCTTAAGGAATAATTTTCTAAGAGTTCAACACGTTGTGTGCAAGCAAAGTTAGGGTGTTGAGTGGGGAACATGAATCTCTAAAGCAACGCCCAGGCATAACTGTCCTTGCATACATTACAGAGGTGCCAGTGTGGTTAGCATCTGGTGACCTTGGCCCTGAATCATACCATCATCTGTTGAAAATCTGACTGTGATCCTTAAGCTTCTGTTTGCTGACTTTTAGAAGCAAGTTACTAAGCCTTTCTTCCACATAGCAGTAAAACAATGGAATTATGGATATGCACCTCTGCCTTGTAAAAATCCCACCCCAGCCCACCCCCAAAGGCACACACTCTCAAGCCGATTTTGGTCCATCATGGTCCCAGGAGCCTCTGCAAGAGACTAACTTCTCAGACTCTTTGCAAAGATTGGAGCAATGGCAAACAAACTAAATGCAGAGTTTTATTTTTCATCCTACATGAAAAATTGAACCAAAGGAATCTGACTATCAACAAATGCTCTCCTTTCCATCTTACTTAATTAACTCGGAATTCGGTAGCTATGCTTAATGAACAGAATACATCAACATGCTTCTTCATTTCACACGCGGGTTGGGAGAAGTGCTCTTGAATGCTGTGGAGTTTGGGCAGGCATGAGGCTCCATCCTATCTCAATCATTATGCTTCCTAAAATATGGTCTCAGGGCTTCAAAAGGCCCCTCTGAGGGGTGCTTGGGAGTATCGGTGCTGATCTGAAACAGACATGCAATATTTTGGAACACCACCTGGCCTTTTGGCACAACTTTTAATCTTTAGCGATCTGAAAAGAGCTGGTAGCCCTCTGTTAGGCTCTGCTTTATTGAACAAACTAGAATCTATCTGCATTAATAAATTCCTGATAACATGAAAACCCTTTTATAACAGAATTTATCCTATCTAATAGCAAACGTACTCTGCCTTACACTTTTTTCATGTTAATCTTCATGTATTTTCTATACATCCAACCCCACTTGCCTGTGACATTCCAGGGCTGCTCATGCCCAAATGTCCCAAACGAGTCTGCATATTTTGATAGACATGACAGACATTTGACAGCTTGAGGACATTCAGAGAAACCCAAGAGCAGATGAGGACAGCGTTGACTCTGGACTGATGAGGAATGTGGCGGTTTTGCCCTGATTCTAAGCACACAAAGAATGAGAATGCTAGAG